AAACCATTCTATGATTCTGTGTGTGCAGTTAACCATTACAACACCTTTGCAGGACCCATAATATTGTAATGTTCATGAGACTTAACATTGGCAAAGACAACCTCAAAAATGTGTAGTAAACAGAACAGATGTCTAACTGATCCTAAGCAGGAAGTGTAGTAGTCTCAGCAGCAGCTGCAAATCAACTGTTGGTCAATACAATTACTTACTATCCTCCCTGTTCATTATTCTTCTTGCTGACTAAATCAAGAAGAGAAGGCATGGTCACACTGGGAAGTCATGCACATTCTAGTAAAGAAGAAGTTACTATTTTGGGGAAAATTCCATCTAGTTTAGGTGGCTAACTTAAGACATGAAAGTCCCAAACCTTCCTGCAGACACAATAAAAAGAAAAACTACTCCAGATGTGGAGAACAAACCTAATTTAAATGCCTTCAGTCTCTCATCTCTATTGAAACAGACACCACTTGAATACATCATATTCATTCCCCTGCCCCCAGTTTGTACTGGGAATCAGGTAAGTCACAAAGTTTTCCTTTTGTAACTTTAGATGGCAGACATTATTTATGGGTCTCTGAAGGTACACCAAATCCAAGAACTCTGCTGTATGCACATGTCCATATTCAGTCATCTGCACAGGCTACTGTGAGCGACACCTTACTGGGCCATTTCTACAGGAAGAATGTTGATGTAAGAACCAGGACTTTCGCTGCCTACCATAATACCAAGGTCAGAACTATTGACAGAGTTTCTGCCTTTCACTGACAGGTGAATTCTACTATTACAAGAGAATTAAGTCACTTCTCCAAGAAGAAAAATTGCTCTCTGTGTATCCCTATCAGGCACATATTTGAGATATTACCAGATGAACATACTGAAATTGTATCAGCAAATTAATTCCCAGTACACCTGCCAGAAATTTTTAATAGCAGTTGTAAATCTCTGAAAATGAAAAAAAAATCAATAAAGCCAATAAAAATGTGCTTAAAAATAACTTGAAAGGAATTAACCACATATACTGGCCATGTATTTTCATTTTATTTTCATTGTATGTGAACTTCTAAATTTTAAAGTCACCTGGCATGATGTCTACTTGATTTTCCTGTTTTCTAAATACTCTTGATGTAAAATGGGTCAAAGAAAGAACTAAAGAAAACAAAATTTGGAAAGGAGATCCATTAGGAAAAGCTGTGAAATTAAAAAAAAAAAAAAAAAAAAAAAAAAGAAGTGGGGAAAGACATCAGGATTAGACAAAAAGGTGCTCAGGGGTCTTTCAATCCAGATCACATGCACATTGGTTTTTCTGGTTGTCAAAATGACCCCTAGTGCTGGATGACAGGTACTCTATAGTAATTTGGTGTGCTGGTGTGAAGGACTAAATCAATTACTGAGACTGGAAAGGATGGCATAGAAAAACCTAGCAAATGTGGGACTTCAAAAAGTTAGCAGGTCTTATTCTACTGTCAAGTTGTGGAATGTACTGTCTGATTTGGTGCTTTGTGTAACAGAGCAAGAACTGCCCTCCACATTACTTTTATAGCTACTCTGAAAACTGAAAGCTGAATTTGACAATATCACTCTGGCTGTTAAAAAACCTGGATCAAAGTGGGGCCAGAGAATTATTTCCTTAGGTTTAGCTCCACACAAGAAAAGATTTCTTTCCTCCAACAGAGCACTGTGAATGCCAAAGTCCTCACCCAAAATTGTAGTTACAAATACAGGCAGAATTCAAATCCTCATTAAAGAAAGACAGGACAGAAAAATGCTTTAAACCATTTTAAGAAGTTAATTTATTGACAATATATAATCCTGAATATAAATAATGATATTCTAGACAGCTAAAAGGTGTGGTAATTGAAGAACTCACCTATTTTCTGTTAGAATTTTTGTCAGTTGTATGATACCAAAGGTAATTCCAAACTTCAGAGTCAACATTTCCATTATTATTATCACTGTATAAAATATTCTTTAACTAAAAAGTATGTATGTGAAAATTTCTACCTAAGAAAAATGTGATGTTTCATGCCATACCCTGACATTCAATGAACAGTCCATCCAGGGAAGTCCATCAGCACTAGTGGGACTAGGTACTGATCCTGTTTCTGCTCCAGCAGCACCACAGCAGCCTCCTCGCAGCCACACAAGGATGGAAGGCCAGCAGTGAAGGCTCCTCTACTCCCCCTCCTGGGAGGCCCGAAGTTCAGCTGCTGCCTTTCCTCAGAGTAAACAGCCTGCTTTCTGCTCCAGAAATGAAGCACAGCCAAGCTGGATGGATTTTGCAAATGAAGGCAGGAGCTGGGAGGGGGCAGAGCTCATCATCCAGCTGTCTGCAGAAGGCAGCCCCACTGGGACTCCTCTCTCCCGTGCTGAGGAAGCTCAGGAGGCCCCAGGCCACGACCCTGCTCCATTCCAACCCCCTCTCTCAGACTCTTTATGTCTGGAACATCCCGGCATCCAGACCCTCTTCCCTCCAATGGCACCGTGGGGCATTTTCCCTAGGAACCAGTCAGTGCAGCAGTACGTTGAACAGCACCTGCAATGTCATCTCCAACTGAGGCATCCAAAACCAGCTGATTTCCAACAATAACAGCGGCATGATCAGACAATAGGGCAACAAAGTAATGCATGAACAATCCCAGTGTAGATAGCAATTTACATTTACTACAACCTGCCTGAATGGCATCTGGCATTTTTAATACCACAATTTAACAAGAATTAAAAGAAACAGCTCTAAACTAGGTGGATGGAGGCAGGGTTTCTAAATACAGCTTCTGCAGATTTAAAAACACAGTTTTTATACAAGAATAGGAAAAACTATACTGAAGGAGAAACACAAGCAGCTTGTAAAACTGATGACAATGGAGCAAGCCCTTATGAATGCTTCTCAACCCATCAATCATACTGACTCCCAGCCACACCACACCACCATTCCACAGTCTACGCACTTTGAGACAGGCATGATTTCACACCACATGGGATTCCAAGATCCCCGAGTTTCTGGAAAATAGATTTTGTCCCAGTTTTTGTGACAGATGGAGTTGATAGTCTCAGGATGAAAAAAGCGCCAGTTTTGACAGGCAGCAGATACCGATGCCCCTTGTGGTTGGAGACGATGTTGCTCTGGAATTAAGGTAGCACGGAAACGAAAGGCAGTGGGCAAATGCACGACTACTTTGTTATGCTCCCCTCCTAGTGCCTTGATAATTTTGTTACTACTTCCTTATAAATTGAAAGTGTAACAAGAAGGCAGGACTTCAGCAAGGCATTTCGCTTTCAATTAAAACGAATTAGTTTTTTTTGAAACTTTTTACTAGCTGGCAAATCAAGTATCAAAGAACTATACCGGGATCTACTGTATTTCTGCCAACAGGCACCCTCGTCAGTGTTTTAGAACCGTGCACAAAAATCTCAGGCGAGAAGCTGAGCTGAATGACTTTAAAATCGGGGGGTATGCGGCAAGTGGAAAGTTGTAATACTGGAAGTACAGCAAAGGAGTACTTACATGGTCGCACTACACCATTAGTAGTTAGCTTTGCTCTCCCGGACAGTACTAGCACACTGAAACCAGGACCTCTGTTTCCATTTCATTAAGAACAAAGTCGGTCCCATTTTGAGACTAATCCTCTCTGCCGTTCTGGTAGCGGCTCGGCTCTCACTTGAATCACCGGGAATTTTGGGTACAAGCGCTACCCGAGCCAGAGAACTCGGTTTTCCCCTCCTTGTTGTAGGGAGCAGGACCAGTGAGAGTACCATGCCTGCAGCACGGGCGCGGAGAGCCGTGCCGCCCGGCCCCGGCGCGGTGCTGCGGAGCACCCCGCGGACGCTCCGCCACCGCCCGGCCGGTCCTGCAGAGCCGCCGCCGCTCAGCGCCTCTGGCCCGGCCGCCGCGCCGCCTTAACGGGAGGAGGGGGGCTGTCACTCTCCTTAAGCCTTTCCTTTCAAGCTTTGAATGTGAGCTGCCCTCCAGCCCCCCTCTCTCTTCCCTCCCTCCAGCACATCGTAAAGAGAAGGAGGGAGGAAAAAAAAAAAAAAAAAAAAAAGGTTTCAACAACAGGCTGGGCCAATGGCAAGTGGCGAGGCAGGGAAAGGGGGCCGAGCGAAGGGAGAAAAAGTGGAGAAAGGGAGAAAGAGAGCGAGAAAGCGCAGGCTGGGGGGGTTGTGTAAAAGAAGAAGCGTTGCTAATTTTTTTTGTTTGTTTGCTTTTCCATGCATGCATAATGAAGCCTAATCAGAGCACGTTGCTGCTGCTTGGAGGGCACTTTTGTATTTAAAGCCTTGCAAAGAAAAAAAGATCCACAGACGGATCCACAGAGCAGCTTGCAGGGCTTGTTGACAACAGAAGCAGCATCAGTCGCCCAGAGAGAAAGAGACCGCGAAGGCTGACTCTTCTCCTTTCCCAGTGCTCTCGTCTTGGTAGCGAAGAAAGACATTTCTTCTCCGCGCCACCCGAAACCGTGATCCGAACCGAGAGGGAGTGAGCAGAGTCGGGACTGTGAATAGGATCGGAGCTGCTGGCATGTGCAGAGATGCTGCGAGCGGAGAATTAAAAGCTCCCGAGGAGGCAACAGCAGCAGCTCGGCATTTATTTTGTGAGGGAAAAAAATTAAAAAGAGAGAGACGGAACTGCATGAAGAGCAGTACAGCACCATGAGCTCTCCCGGCGCAGCCTGCGATTCCCAGAGCGCACTACGGATCCGCTGCCGTCCGAGCCCCTGTTTGCACTGACTCCCCGCACCTCTCCGGGCGCCTTCGCCGCCGCCTCGCCGAGCCCGGAGCAGCGGGTGGGGGACACGGGAAAGTCCCCGGACGCCTGCTTCGTACCGCCGCTCCGCCGACTTCAGCTCCTGGGGGCTGGAGAGCCCCGGGCCCGGCGCGCATGGATTGATGCGAGGAGACCTCATGCACACGGCCGGCGGGAGTTTTGGAAACTTTTCCACGGGCGGCTGCTCCTTCTCCTCCTCCTCCTCCTCGTCTACCAGCGCCTCTTCCCAGCTCGCCCGCGGCTGCAGCCACTACCCCCGTCCGCGATGGTGGCCCGCTCACCCGCTCGGCACGGAGCCGGCGGCCGGCGCTGGCCGCGGGCGGCCGCCTGGTTGTGGTTGGCGGCGGCGCTGGGCGCCGTGTGGCCGCCTCGGGGCTCGCTGGTGCAGGGCCGGCGGCTGATCTGCTGGCAGGCGGTGCTGCAGTGTCAGGGGGAGCCCGAGTGCAGCTACGCGTACAACCAGTACGCCGAGGCGTGCGCCCCGGTGCTCCTGCAGCAGCAGCCGCCGGCGGCGGGCGAAGGGGACGGCCCGGCGGGCGCTGCAGGCGCGGCCGCCTCGTCCAGGCGGCGGTGCCCCAGCCACTGCATCGCGGCGCTCATCCAGCTCAACCACACCCGGCGTGGCCCGGCGCTGGAGGACTGCGACTGCGCGCAGGACGAGAACTGCCGCGCCACCAAGCGCGCCATCGAGCCCTGCTTGCCCCGCACCAGCAGCCCCGCGGGCGGCGGCCCTGGCGGCGGCGGCCCCGGCGGCCCCGGCGTCATGGGCTGCACGGAGGCGCGGCGGCGCTGCGACTGGGACAGCCGCTGCAGCCTGGCGCTGAACCGCTACATGACCTACTGCGGGAAGCTGTTCAACGGGCTGCGCTGCACGCCCGAGTGCCGCGCCGTCATCGAGGACATGCTGGCCGTGCCCAAGGCCGTGCTGCTCAACGATTGCGTCTGCGACGGGCTGGAGCGGCCCATCTGCGAGTCGGTCAAGGAGAACATGGCCCGCCTCTGCTTCGGCGCCGACATGGGCGGCAACGGCGCGGGCAGCAGCGGCGGCTCGGACGGCGGCCTGGAGGAGTACTACGACGAGGACTACGAGGAGGAGCCGAGCCAGAAGGGGAGGGACGACGCGGAGGACAATGCGGGCGCCGAGCCCGGCTTCCCCGTGCAGAGAGATAACGCTGGCCGGCCCGCCAGGGCGGCTGGGGCGCTGCTCGCCTCCATCTTGGTGCCGCTGCTGCCGCGGCTCTAGCAACCCTCTCTTCCCGCACCCCTCCTGCCTGCTTCCCATCGCTGCCTCCCTCCATCGCTGCCTCCCTCCGCATCCCCATCCCCTTCGCCGGGCCGGGCCGGGCCAGGCCCCCCGCGCCGAGCCGCCGCGGGCCTCTAGTCGAGCCCTCCCGCGGCGGCCGGGGATCCGGCCGGCGGGGCCCCTCGGCGCGGAGCGGCTTTAAACGCTCTGGCCGCGGATTCCCCGACCCATCGCCCCGGCGCCCCTTTCCCTCGCGACTCCCCCTCTGCCTCCGCTGCTCCGCGCAGCCCCCAGCCGACCCCTTTCCCCGGCCCGACGCTGCGAGCCGGCCGCTGGAGCGGTGGCCGGAGCGCAGGGGCCGCTCGTGTTTCGGGTGTTGGTCTCGAGTGTGCACTATGCAATTGCTGCCACCCTGCCTTCGTGTTACTAGCGAGCGGAGCGGCTGACAGAGACTGCGGGCGAGGCCGCTAGCCGCCCCCCGGAACAAACCGGGAGTTGTGGCATGCTGGTACTGGGGGTCTTTTAAGAGTTTTGACATGAAGGTTAGTAAGAGGTGGGCAACCCAAACTTGCTGCCAAAGCGTTGCCGTACTAGTTAGTCAGCAATTTGATTACCATTAGCCGCATCTCGCTCTTCCTGATGCAGTTGTGCCCGAAAGGGGCTTTTGCCTCATCTACCATTAAATTTAGGGAAATAGCAGACTGAATAAATTTGGTGGTTTACAGCACTCCCTCTTGCACACACATATTCCCTATAACAAAAGCGTGCCAGCAGCCGTCTCTTCCTCTGTAACCTAGCGACATTAAAAAAAAAATCGTTTCGGAGTTGTTGGCTATACTGAACAATGCAACTTTTGTTTTAAAAGAGCTCTGCACTGCCATCTTTAAAAGACACTTTTAAACTCGAGAACATGTATGTACAAATATCCTGAAAAGTTTTATTGCCTCGTCATATCAGGGTGCTGACCTCTGGTAAATCTTATATAAAAAAAAAAGTATTTAAAACTGGGATTTGTTACCAGTCGCTCTTCATTGTATATAGAATTTTATAAATTGTATGCTTTGGGGATAATTTATTTTAAAAAAATAATAAAAAGTTTTAATTCCATGTCCTATTTGCCAGGTAGCTGCATTTGCTGTTAGTTTCTGGAAAGGTACAGATTTCACTTTATGTTTAAAGGGATACCAGCAACAGTGATTAAGTGAAGTATTCTCTAGAACATCAAATGTACAGTGTATTTTACAGATTGAAAGTTAACTTTCTTATTTGGAGAGACTTTATGAGCGTTTTAGAATTGTATAAATGCATTTCTGAGCTGCCTTAAACCTTGTATTTTTATAGAAGGCATAAAAAAGGCCTGTCTTTTAAATACGTATGGCTTTTTTTTGTATTTTCTAAACGTGTAAATTAGAAAAGAAAGAGCTTTAAATAATGAATGCAGTGAAATTGTTTTCCAGGGACACTTGAACTCTCAGCACCCGAAATGTGGGGGTGGGGGAAGAGAGGCGGGGATCAAACCACAGAATAACAAACCAAAAAACAGTCAAAAAACAAAAATCTGTGTCTGCCTGTAATACTTCACATAGATGTAAATTACTGCTATTCTTACTTTAATGGATAATTACATGCAAGAAGTAAATACAGCTTTGAAAGTACTTCTTTAAATGAGTGGTTGATTTTATAATGCGTTGGCATGGTAACTTGCCAGAGCCAGAAGAGAGTAAAGCAATTCAAGGACACTGCTCCTGTATATATTCGTGTAGAATTACTTGTGCAACCGCGCTTCCTTCGTGCAGGCACCCTGCTCTCGCTAGCGCTTGTATAAGTGCTCCTGGGCGTGCAAACAAGTGGTGAGAAATACATCACACGGAGGCGGCAGGCCTTTCGGACAAGGCGTCGCTTCGCGGGCAGGGGCGCACGCATCAAGGCAGCTGCAACAAAACGCAAAGTTTGCTATTCAGCCTGCCTTCTCCCACAACGAAGAATGCAAAAGTAAACACGCTGAAGGGATCAGCAATTACTAGATCTTGTAATACTGTGCTTAGGCGATGCTTTGCATCGTGCTGAAGCCTGGTTTGCTGCCAGAGCTACTGATCTACACTCAAACGCCCTTAGATAAATAATTACACTCTTAAGCTGTGTCGAGTGCTGATACACTTGACCTTGTAAATAGAAATGTTTGCAGTAGGAATAAACTCCAGCACTGGAAAATCTTTTAAACATTAAGACAAAAGAGAGAGCTCAGTCCTCTAGGGATTTGAGTTTGGACTGCGTCAAGCTAGGCACTCACAAAAAAAAAAAAAAAAAAAAAAAAAAAAAAAAAAAAAAAAAAAAAAAAAAAAAAAAAGAAAGTTTATTTATCTTCTATTCATGGTGTTTATTTAAAGCTTTGCGTTTTAAAGGCTATAATTGGAAGGCAAGTCAGAAGTTTAAAGTCTACCACAAATAAACTTTGACTGAGGGGGCGACAGATTAGCAAGATAGCGTCATTTTCATCTTACCAGATCTTGACAGAGCACAAATCCACATCTGTCTGTTGTATAAATCAACAAAATTAGAAATCCCTGCTTCTGTGTTAGTTATTTCAGTGGAGGATTATTTTATTATTTATTTAGGGTGTGAATTTGATTACGTTGCCCAGCAATAAATGCACATAAGTGCACATGCACACACATAAGCCAACCCCAAATAGTTGTGATACCAAACAAGTGTATGACTATGGTGTGCAGCTATGATCTGAAGTTTGTTTTTAAAGTCATCTGAACGGTTGAGTAAGCTTATTGTTAAAACAAAGCTGGAAACTGTTTCTTCGGGAGGAGAACAGAGTAGTTGGGTGAGACTTGTAAATAGAGTCAGCTTTCTTTACAAAGTGCTGAGTTCACAATGGGGTAAGGATAATCTTAAATACTTCTTGCATAGATGACCAGAAACATGCTTTTAGTTTGTCAACAGTTAGCACCCACAAGGACTATTTAACTAGTTGTTGATGAAAAATTAAGTCCCAGCTAAAAGCCTTTATTTTTCTTCATTTAGAAGTAAAGACATTAGCACTAGAAAAGGACTGATAATTAACTGCTACAATAAACTCAATACTTAATTTTACAGGCTTCTGTCAAAAGCATCTGCCTGAAATAAATCAACACCAAGCACCACTAGGCAGGGAGGACTCATCTGTATGCTTTGTTCTCCAGAAAAAGTGGATTGTTTTAATTTAAGTTATTGTGCAATAAATACAGCTGAACTGATTCTTCCTATGAGCTCCTCTCCATAAGGAGGTAGCTCTGGGTTTTGTTGTATAGTCAGAGTCAGCACTATTTCCAGGATGAATGGCTGTGTTGCTATTTGTCCCAGCCAAATAAGCCTGTACAGATGTTGATGTCCATCAGATCCGCATTTCTTTTGCTTGATTTTCAGACAAATGGAAATCTTGAAATGTCAAGTGATGTAGCAAGAACAGATTTAAGCAAGGGGAAGACTTCACCTTTCCTGACAGAGGGAGATTTTTCACAGGAAAGGAAGTTCTCTCATTTGTCTGGCTATTCGGCAGTGCTCTCTGCTGAAGTCCTGTCCAGGCTATATCTTCCAGGGGGAGAAGGAACTCTGCATCATTTCATGTAAAATAATCGAGTAGGTTCTGATCCCTTTTCATTCCCAGTTACCAGGTTTGAATTCTTGGCGACAGTTTATTTGTCTTTGGAGGCACTTCAGTGACAAATGTTTAAGGGAGTGTGGGACAATGGTGGAGAACAAGGAGGCAGTTCATTGAACTGACAGTGACCATACAGTAAATAGGGGGAGATTCAAGCTTCACTGATCACCCAAGCGCACAGCAAATCTTTTGTATGCAATCACAATGGACATAACATAAGGTCTCTGTTTATTTTCAACAATATACACCAATGTATACAGACAGGCATACATAACTTTAAAATTGTTATGAAAAAAAACCTTACAATGGCCATAAGCAAAGCTCTGGTTTGGCCAAGTCTTTTCATGGTCACATTGGAAAGCATGATGGATTTTACTTAGAATCTCCACTCCTAAATAGCTGTTGGTCTACCAGATCTCTCACTACAGACACACCTCTGTAGTGCATATCTTAGACAGGGCTGCAAAGATGGCTGCAGGCAGCTTTACAGGTAGGGAACAAGACATTCCATCTCAATGTGATGCAAAACTAGTGCTTGGTTTTTGGTTTGTTTTTTTTTTCTTTTTGAGTACACTGGAGTTTGAGAGGTACTCCAAAAGAGCCAAAGTGCACATATAAGAAGTAGAGGGACAAAAAATCATCACCATTTGAGTAATGGAAAATGCTGCTTCAGTGACTGAGTTGCGTAGTCTTGAAAGGTCACCAAAAAAAATGTAGACCTTCAATCAATTTTGTTCCTGTCCGCAGTAATAACTTCACGCACTTCCCTACTGCCTGTGGTAACACGCCCATTGCAAGTCCTAGGGAAAGTAGGTAGTTGTGCAACAGAAAACATTTCAAATGGGAAGAACAATGATTTCATGTCTGTGATACAGATTTGTAAGCAGTGAAGTTGAAAGTTACTGTATTTTACTTGAGGCATTGACTGTGCTAGACAGTTGAAAAGGCTCACATTGACTGTCTGAATGACATAAGTAATGTGCTATTAGCATAAATACTTTCTAAGACATCCATTTAATCAATTTCTTAAATAACAGAATGATCTACTACAAAATAGTGGACTGTATACACTATATTTTGGCACAAAGATGGTCATTCTCCCACTAGTAACCAGGGGCTCTAAATAAATGATTTCAACAATGTTTTATTAAAGGAGGACAAGAGCCCTCGAGCTGCATTAATCGGGGAGAAGTCGAGTGGCACTTTTGTTATGGAAATGTTAAACACATAATGGTTCAGGCAAACAATGTGGAGCCACTTCATTCTCTCAGCCATGCTGACACCTCTTAAAGAGGAACTGCAGGGAAGGATGTGGGAAAGATTTGCTTTCTGAGGAAGCTTTCAGCTAATATTTTGGATATTTACCTCCAAAATTCAACCAGTGCAAATGTAACTGAAGGGCATAAAAATAAAACAATAAAGAGGGATGATTTATGCAGCTACTACTAGTGATGAGAGTTTGATGCTCAAAATCAAAATAGTGATTGACAAGCGTCCCTTTTCTTTAAAGTTTCTTTTTTCATTAATTTATTATGAGCCAAGTGGATATTATAGTAGAAGGTGAATGTACACAGAGATTTTTGTTAACACCCAGAGTTAATAGAGCTAATACTCTACCTTGGACATACATCATGTTGGGCAAAGAGGAGCACCCTAGAGTAAGATAATAGATTTAGGTTTAGTAGGATGGTCGTGAGGTGAAATGATGTGTAGGAAACATAAAAATACATTAATAAAATGATACACAGTCTGCATAAAGAAAATCCACGTTCAAACGTGGTATTTTGAATGGGCGAGAAGAAAAAAGGGTAGGGAAGAGGAGATGACTGTTATGTATAGAAGTTTTGGAGAATTGATAGGGTACTTGCTAATAAGGAGAAAGAAGCTCCAAAATAATATCAAGAAGTTAGCTGAGGCACAGATTGAAAATAATGGGGGAATGTAGAAAGAAAGCTGTCTGTCTTCAGTAATGTTGGCACAGCCAGAAGGTAAGAGTAATGTGGAAATAAGATGAATATTCAGCTGTGGAAATGATTTTTTACCCCATCTCCAGAAGATGGAGATGAAAGCTATCATCTCTGTATTCTTGGTGTTCCTGAGAGAGCACCTTAAACACTGTGTCTGCGTTTCAGACCACTCCTCTCTCAAGTTCAGGAAGGATATTGGGAAACTTGAGGGGCTAGTAGAAGGCTGCCAGAATGGCTAGAGTTTGTGACCAACAAGGAAAAGATGAGGGAGCTGAACTTTAGTCCAACTGAAAATGAATCTAATGGCATCCTGTACCATGGGAAGAGAGCTTTTGTAAAGACTACAGTGTCCAACTTTTCTTAGTAGTGTAAGAAGGTATGACAAGCTACAGCAGACACAGACTGTGGCTGGTAGGTTCAGACTGAGCATTAGGAAGAACTTTGCTGGGAGGTGACGGAAGTAGTGCAGCCCTGAGACAAGTTTCCCAAAGAAACCCTGTCACATTCATTGTTTGATATTTCCAAGGCTTGGCTAGCAAGAGATACAGCAGTTTTTGGGTTTTTTTTTTGTTTTTTTTTTTTTTTTTGTCTTGGCTGGAACACAGCTTCTGGAAAAGGTTGGAAGTAGATGATCTCTGGAAGTTCCATTAAATAAATTTCTATTATACTGTGATTTTAATGTTGACCTGATGATGGGAAATCCAAGAGACTCCTTAGGTAGATGTAGAATGAGGTCAGGCTTAAGTATACGTATGTCATATTTCAAGGGAGGTCGTGATGCATGGGGTTTGAGGAGAGAAGATAACTGTTACACATGCCCACAAGGCAAGAGAGGATGAAAAGGGGTCAAAAGGGAAGTTTAGGAGGAGAATAGAGACCAAAACATAGAATTTAGTCCAGGATTTGAAGACAAGAGGAAGAGAGGAATTGTAACACAAGCGGTATTGTGAAATATAAGGGAATATGGTGAGGAAAAGGAAAGTGTCCATCTAAGAGTAACACTTATGAATAGGAAAATAGACGGTTTAACTGGAAAGGG